TCTTGTTAAGGTTACGTAATCTCTGCCTGTCTATCTTGTCAATGTTATAGAATGTCTGTCTGTTTGTCTGTTTCTCCTCGTTAGTCTTGTTAAGGTTACGTAATCTCTGTCTATCTGGTCAATGTTATAGAAAGTCTGTCTGTTTGTCTGTTTCTCCTCGTTGGTCTTGTTAAGGTTACGTAATCTCTGCCTGTCTGTCTGGTCAATGTTATAGAAAGTCTGTCTGTTGGTCTGTTTCTCCTCGTTATTCTTGTTAAGGTTACGTAATCTCTGCCTGTCTGTCTGGTCAATGTTATAGAAAGTCTGTCTGTTGGTCTGTTTCTCCTCGTTATTCTTGTTAAGATTACGTAAGCTCTGCCTGTCTGTCTGGTCAATGTTATAGAAAGTCTGTCTGTTTGTCTGTTTCTCCTCGTTAGTCTTGTTAAGGTTACGTAATCTCTGTCTGTCTGTCTGGTTAATGTTATAGAATGTCTGTCTGTTTGTCTATTTCTCCGCGTTAGTCTTGTTAAGGTTACGTAATATCTGTCTGTCTATCTTGTCAATGTTATAGAATGTCTGTGTGTGTGTCTATTTCTCCTTATCAGTCTTGTTAAGGTTACGTAATCTCTATCTGTCTGTCTGGTCAATGTTATAGAATGTCTGTCTGTGTGTCTGTTGCTCCTTATCAGTCTTGTTAAGGTTACGTAATCTCTGTCTTTCGGTTTGGTCAATGTTATAGAATGTCTGTGTGTGTGTCTGTTGCTCCTTATCAGTCTTGTTAAGGTTACGTAATTCCTGTCTGTCTGTCTGGTCGATGTTATAGAATGTCTGTCTGTGTGTCTGTTGCTCCTCGTGAGTCTTGTTAAGGTTACGTAGTCTCTATCTGTCTGTCTGGTCAATGTTATATAATGTCTGTCTGTGTGTCTGTTGCTCCTTGTCAGTCGTGTTAAGGTTACGTAATCTCTGTCTGTCTGTCTGGTCAATGTTATAGAAAGTTTGTCTGTTTGTGTGTTGCTCCTTGTCAGTCCTGTTAAGGCTACGTAATCTCTGTCTGTCTGTCTGTCTGTCTGTCTGTCTGTCTGTCTGTGTGGTCAATGTTTTAGAAAGTCTGTCTGTACGTTTCTGTCATCACAATTGATCAATGTTAAAGACAGTCAGTTTGTATGTCTCTGCCGTTTTACTAGTCTAGGTAACGTACAGTCTCAGTGCCATGCCCTCCAACTGGTCCAGTCTCAGTACCATCCCCTCCAACTGGTCCAATCTCAGTGCCATGCCCTCCATCTGGTCCAGTCTCAGAGCCATGCCCTCCAACTGGGCCAGTCTCAGTGCCATGCCATCCAACTGGTCCAGTCTCAGTGCCATGCCCTCCAACTGGTCCAGTCTCAGTGCCATGCCCTCAAACTGGTCCAGTATCAGTACCATGCCCTCCAACTGGTCCAGTCTCAGTGCCATGCCCTCCAACTGGTCAAGGTTAGCTTTGCCTCAGCCCTGTTGACCGCTGGCAAATATTTTACCAACGGTATTGTCGTAAATCGCACAGTAACAGCGCTTATTGGTTGGGTACTATAGTTCGTTAGAGTACTTAATTATAATAGTTCTTCACTACATCTGTAGTCTATCCTGTATACTGTGTAGATAGTCAGGACGCAGTGTGGGTAAATATAGATAAAACGCAACAGGAACATATGTGATAAGCAGATCTACAGTCGTATCGATCTACTGTGTGTATTTGTTATGGCAAGCCAACTTTGATTTGTTCAAGGCACAACGTCGATCCTGTATTTCGTAAAATATATAAGCTATTTATTATATTATCTGCTTGAAGAAAGAAAAAGGCTTACTAAATAACCAAGGAAACCATATCTATGCATTTCAAACTTTTCGAAAGACGAAAGTCCGGCAAATCACGCTTCTGTATTACAATCTTTCCAAATACCCACTAATTATAAGGGTCAGACCTGACTTGTTTGTATTGGGTTTCGAAACTTCACAAGAAACTTTATAAACAACGTTTCATCGCTGGCTCTTCTATAGTTGCTCAACCAAAGCATTATCCAGACTTCTCACTACCATGCTCAGTAACCTTAAATCAGGGTCGCAGTCATATTGTGACACTGTATACTAAAGACGTTGAACAAATGGCAGTTGATTTTGAAGAATTCAAAAGATCTTTTGATCAGTCTTGAAAATCCTCTTTTCCAAACTGTCGTTCCTATGAACACTTTGGACTTTTGACCCTTAACACACCATAACTCATAGTAAACTGTAGGAACAACTTCATTCTCTTGTTATGAGATTTTATTTTAAAGAAAGACAAACGGCGATATAAATTTGGATGTTAATTATTTTGGAAGCATACTTTATGAAGGGTACAAAAAAGGGCAAAATAAAGGGGACGATATCGTGGGACTGATCGAGTTCCTGGTTGACAATGCCTTTGTAGAGTTCGGTGGCAAGATTTACAAGCAGACTATAGGAATTCGTATTGGAACGAACTGTGCCCCTCTTCTGGCCGATTTGATTTTGATTTCATATGAGCAATGCAGGCCCATTGGGCTTCTTTTTATGTTCTGTCATAATCGTATTACTGTCTAATATAATGTAAGATAAAAAGATACAATGAGTGCATTTAATTTAATAAACATGAACATATACCAACTGAAACTGGCCGTTGGTCTAGCAAACCTGTACCAAGGCAAGAAAGACTACATCAATTAGGCTTTCGTTATTTTGGTGATGCGTTTCATATCCTATTTAAATGTTCAATTAATTACGTTAGTCCAATTAGACACAATCGTATTACTGACTATAACATTCGAAATCCCTTTATCAATACAATTTAAGGATAATTATCTAATTGCAATGACCGAATTTATCCAACCTGATATTATTTGTACAGGGGGAAAGGATGTTAAAATACAAATCTATATGTTTGTAATTTGTGTTTGCATTGTGCGTGCATTAACTTTTTGTAATTCGTTGATCGTCATATGAAATGTTCGATTATATTGTATTAGTTTACGACCTCTTGTTGCCAACAGAAGTGTGCTTAAGTGCTCTATTAAAATCTAACTCATCTGAATATCAGGATAGCCCGGTGTCATTCGGAACATTCGTCACCACACAGTATAGCGATAAAGTCTACGGTCCCGTCTCCATCAGCCGATCCTACATTTACTAGCACTCTCAGAGTTCAAAACGTGGTTAAACTTCGATCTTTGTGACCGACGTGACCGCTCTGCGTGACCGACGTGCTCTGCGTGACTGACGAGTCTGTTAAGAGACATATATAAGGTCATGGCCAATAACTGTTTACACAATTCCGTTCTGTCCATATCTACGACGTTTAATGTATTTGGTGATATACGCGAACCTTATACTTATTTTAAAAAACAGGTTTGCCATTAAATCACTAAACATAAAATGTATAGCGTTGTCTTTCGCTTGGAGGCCGGGGGTCTGGTTGGTACCAATGTTCTTTAAATGTAAATCTGCTTGCTAACTCTTCCCTGGAAACCAACAGTATCAAATAGCATTTGGTTTATAAAAAAAACATGGTCACAATTACTCTGACTGGATGCAAATACCCTTTCATTTTCATCCCAACTAACAAAACTCATCATGTATATATATATTCCGTTTTTGCGTAATGCAGAGTTATCTTCTCTTGGGAGCAGGTATTGATTGTTACGTCATTGGTTTGTGTGAGCAAATGACGTCGTTTTCTCAAAAATTGATGACGTTACTCTCACAAACATGTGACGTAACAATCAATACCTGCTCCCAAGAGAAGATAACTCTGCAATACTCAAAGACGGAATATGATTTTTTCGTTTAAATCAGTCAGTTTTTCTCTAAATTAAAATGTTGAGTGAAAGGTATTTACCAGGATTAAAAGAAACGAGAGGGGAGAATCATTAAATAGGAAGCTAGCATGGCACACGGACATTGAGCGCAAGTAAGTTCAAACAGTTAGCAATAATTATACCGACCCCACTGTAAAAGAGTTTTGTAATCTATTACAACAAGGTGAATTTACAAAACTGTAATATCAAGAGCAAGAATATTTTAATAGGTACACTATATATGTACATATTAAGAAAGGATATTTATAGATATGAAGCAGAATTGCTTAACTGTGGAAATCTAAGTAGCATTGACTACGTAAAGATCGGGGCCGTCAGGGGCGTTTTTCTATGATATTTGAAAGAGGGGGCGTAGAATCAAATCTTTGGCCGAGCGGAGCGAGTCGAAAAATATTTTGGACCTTTTTTTTGCTAAAAAACATAAAATAATAGTGAAATGCACTAATGTAACGGTTCCTGACTTGGAGCATGTATTTTTTATAGTTAAAGTGTCAGGGTTTGACATTTTTTATGCCGAGTTCTCTCCATTAATTGTCTAAGGTATATTAAGATGATTGGATGGATCTTAACAGCAGTAGACCAATAACGAGAAATTCCAAATTTTTTAATAGTCCTAGGCCAGGATTTTATGAACGGGAGGCGTAATTACGGTTGCCCTGGTAGAGGGTCCATGGGGAAGTTCCGAAGCTTCTGGTTTTCAACAATTTAGCATCAAATTATAAAGTAGCCAGACTGATAAATATCTCTCTATTTTAGATTAAGTTCTGGTTTCGTTGAACTTCACTATATCACGTGATCAACAACAATGGATACTAATCGCAGAGTCGAATACTTGAATGCTTGAATGAAAGAATTCAGAGTATGAGTTTAATTAATGAATATGATAAATTGCCATATTCAATACAATATAAGCAGATTACGATAAAAAATAAATTGAAAAAGGTGGGTGGGTGGGTGG